AAAAATCTTTAAAAAAAAAATTACATTGCTTTTGAAATTGTTTCTTGAACGTTACACTGACATTTCTTTGAAAACAGCACTATGTTAAGACTGGGCCATGGTACAGCTCAGTTTTACGTGGGTTATATATACAACCATTATATATTTTAAAATAATTTATAAGAGCTCCCACTTTGCTTGGTTCTATGGAGAGTGGGCAGTATTACATAGTTGTTAATACCGTGTGTCGCACAGATACTCTGAGAATTAAGGAAATCACTTTTATAAACCTATCCTTTATGCCAAGACTCATTCAGATGGTAGATTCAACTACCAGGAACCCATTTATTTTATCTAATTAAAGCACTCTGTGGTCCCTTCCTTTTCTTTGATTCATCTTTTCTCCCTCCTTCTCAAATAAAATCTGAAAATAGTCCTAAGTACAAATAAGGTTGAGAACCTAGGCAGAAAAATTTACTATAGGGGCGGCTGGTTAGCTCCGGTGGTTAGAGCACAGGCTCATAACGCCAAGGTTGCCGGTTCAATTCCCACATGGGTCAAGGAGCTACACCCTCCACAACTAGATAGAAACAACTACTTGACTTAGAGCTGATGAGTCTTGGAAAAACACACTGTTCCCCAATAAAATTTCTTTTAAAAAATTTACTATAAATATAAATTTGGGGTTTAAAAATCTATGTTAAATGATGCAACTCACATTCTACATTATATGTGGAAAATATATATTACTGTGCTGATGAGAGTATGGTCAGTATAGATTTTTTAGTATTTTTGTGATTATCAGCTTTGACATTACCAGGTGTCATGCATTTCAATCATCTTATACAAATGTAAACCATTATTGGAATTACTACCAACCTTCCAAAATTCTTATATTTTTTATATTCTTGTCTAACTCATCCTTACACAGTCCAGCTGAAATGACCCTTTTCAATAGTATTTCTTTTCTGTTTAAAATATCTGTAGATAACACTTCAATAGCAATGAGCACACCTAGTGCCTAGAACTTTGTCTGTAGAGATTACATCCCACTGAAAAGAACTAGGGCTCCTTATAGAAGCGGATGGTTCTAGGCTGGAGTAGGGAGAAGAAAAGGGGGGATTGGAGTATCTTGTACCAGAAAATATGGAAGTACTCAGAAACTGATGAGGTCATGTAAAAGGAAGACAGAAGCCAGCTTGAAAGGGTTCCCACTTGCTATATATGGGACAATTTGAGTATCTAAATGAATAATGACTGGAATAGATAACAACACATTGAATAAAAAAGAATTCAAACTAACACTACTCTTACAAAATTTAAGGAGAAGAGGAGTAGGGAAAGTTGTTTACAGAAGAATGCCAACTCACAAATGCAAGCTTGTTAGAATTAGAAAACTATCATTTTGCAATCACCATTATAACAATTGATTCAGGCAAGAATCATCAATAGATGTAAAATCATTGAGTGAATGATTATTCGGGAAGAATATGAGTATATTCACACAGTCTCAAAGTACCACTAGTTACAATTACTAACTACCAAGAGAAAAAAAAGGTACCTTTATAAATGGAGAGGTCTAGTGGATACCACTTGAACCAAATGATCAAAGTTAACGTCACCAAATTGACATGATGTGTTCTCTGATATGATGCACTGAGGACAGAAACTGCACATGAAGTATTCCTGTCAAAAAATAATAATAAAGGTTCTAATCATAAGGAAATAATAAAATAAAAGCATTATGTAAAATAACTGACCTGGAGTCTTCAAAAATGTCAATGTCGTGAAAGATAAAGAAGTTCAGGGATCATCTTTAAAAGAAAGTAAACAGACATGACAACTAAATGCAATGTGTGCTCTTTAATCAGTAGTTGGATTTTTAAAAAACAGTATAAAAGACACTACTGTTATTGGTACAGTTGAAGAAATATGAATATATAATGTATATTAGATAACAGTATCATATCCATGTTAAATGTCCTGTGTGACCATTTTCTTCAGTGTGCTAAATGTACTATAGGTATGTAGAAAAATACCTTTTTCTTAAGAAAAATATGCTTGAAGTATGTATGGGTAAAATGTCAAGGTGTCTGAAACTTATATTTAAACCTCTTGGATCTAGCACAGAAAGGTGTGTGTGTTTGTGTGTGCATGCATGCACCTGTGTGCACATATTTACACAAAAACACATTTAGGTAGGGAGAAAACAAATTTGGCAAAATGTTAACTAGTAAATCTAGGTAAAGGGTATGTGAGTGTTCATTGTACTATTTTTACAACTTTTCCGTAAGATTAAAATTTTTCAAAATAAAACAAGTTGAAGAAAGAAAATAACATGTACAAAGTAAAATAAACCACAACTAGACTGAAGAACAAAAGGACAGCAACTTGTCTGTTCCCCTCCCCCAATTCCCCAATAAAACCTTTAAAAAAAAAGTAAAATAAAAAATATGCTGAGCCAAAGATAAAACACTGGAGGCAAAGTCGTAATGGGCAAAGTTAGGAGTAGAGCAAGGATAAAATGTCTAACTCGTTGACTTCTCATAGCTCTATTCTTACATGTCCACCCTGCTACTTCTGAATATTCTATCACATGCCTCATATCTTCACATTAGGGACCAAACACACTTCCACAATGTTAGGATCATAAGCTTTTGACCTTGTGTCACCAGAAAAAGATAGATGAGAAATTCAAACACTCCACAGCTTAAACTACTTCATGTCCTCTTTCCTTTAGACATCTCCGGGCCCTTCTTGTTTGAAGGGTGACTGAATTTTATTTTCCTTGGCTGTAGGTTTGTCATAGGGACAACACAGTTCCCACAGTCTGGAAGGAGAGCTAGATGCCAGCAATTCCAGTCATTTTGAAATGCCTTTTTGAAAGTCAGTGAAAGAGCCGGCCGAGTGGCGCGTTGGTTAGGTGTTGACTTGGGACGACAGCTCTGAGCAGCAGGGCCCCGGTTTGGATCCCACATGGGGGCCAGTGAGACTGCCCTCTACAGCTAAGATGGTGAACAACAGCTCCACCTGGAACTGGGCTGCCCTGAGTCGCTGGCAATGGGGTAGGCTGCAGTGGGGCTGACCGGCAGCGGGCGTGAGCTTCTGTGAGCTGCCGTGAGCGGCCATCCAATGGCCAGCGAGCGACTGCGCCACCCGGGAAGAGCGCGATGATAATACCAACATGGGTCAGTGAAGCGACGTCCTCCACAACTAGACTAAAGAACAAAAGGACAGCAACTTGTCTATTCCCTTTCCCCAATTCCCCAGCACTGTTCTCCTCCCCCAATTCCCCTATAAAATCTTAAAAAAAAAAGAAAGTCAGGGGAAAATGTCTTATCTGGTTGGCGAGGCTTTGTTTCCCCAATATTTATGTAAACCTTTTCTGGGCATATTTGGCCTCTGACTCCTCTTTCTTCCCTCATGGTTTCCTCCTGTCCTGGTGACCTAGCAGAATGCCATTGTTGATTCTTTATGTGTGTCACCCACGAGCATGAGCGTGTACTCCTTCCTCCTTCCTTTGCTCATTACTAATTCATCCATGATAATTACTTATTTATGTAGGTCACTTTATTTTAAATGATAGTTTTACAAATGTTTAAGCAGATGAGCATTTGTACTCTAAAGGGCAGGAGAAGTGAAGAACACATACAAAATGTACCACAGAGAGTTGGATTAGGAAAGAAAGATGAACACAGGCCTGGAATCTCTTCTTGTACCTCTGTCATCATCTACCTTTTTTCATTTTACGAATTGGCTTGATCTCCTGTTTTCAATGGCCTTTTACTACTTTAAATACCCTCGTGATTGTATTTAGACTATACTATCTTGAAAGTGAAGCAGTTTGTTTGCTCTTTTTTAAGCAAGAACCACATGGCTACAGAACATGGCTAGCCTGACCAAACTGGAGACGAGTCTGAGAATTATGAATCCAGACTAAGCCAGGCCCCTGAAGGGTCAGTCAGTTTTTACTGAGCACCTAATAATGGTCAGGCATTATGTTTGGAAGTGGAGGGAAAGACTAACTGAGACACAACCCTAAATTAATGATCCAAAATATTCCACGTCAGGTTCACACTGGTCTCATTAGAAGAAGGGTACTGAGGAGACGATGGTACCCATCACATGGATGTGAGTGCATCATTTATGATTTGTGTTCATCTGCTAGTAACAGACACTCAACAAACAATGGCTTAAATAAATGGGAAGGCTATTTTTCTCTTTTGCAGGCAGAAGCAGGCAGTGGTGGTCTGACAAGCCCATGGAGTCATTTAAGTCTCAGGCTTCTTCTATCTTGCTGCTTTGTACTTCTCAGCACACAACTTCCACCCTAAAGTTTGCCTCATGGCTGCAAGGTGGCCAGGGCCACAGTAGCTATTATCTGCATCCTAGGCTGGAGGAAAAAGGACGAGAGAAAAGAGAAGGGGCAGAAGGGCACTTTCCAGGTAAGTCAACCCCCTTTTAAAAGACCTTACCCAAAATCCCAACCCAAAACTTGTGTTTACATCTCATTAGCCAGAACTTAGTCATTCAGCCACCCATATCTGTAATGGAAGATCTCAACAACGACAACAACAAAAATGAGTTTTGTGAGTACTTACTCATTTGTAAGTACAAATCCACATAGTTATTATATTGGCCTGTTTCTTCAATTGGGCCCTGGTACTTTTTAAGTTAACTTTACTGGTTACTTTCCATCACCTAATTATCAAAACCAATCATCCTCTTTCACTTAAAATACACAGTTATTAAAATTCTGACTAAGGAAGAGGGATAGTTCAGAAGATATATTGATGGGAAAAGGGGTGAATTAATTCCAGAGCAAGGAAAATGAAATTTTATCTAACAGGACTTTAATTTTGTGGCTGGTCACTTCTGCTGCCACCACTCAAGGATATAACAGGATATCTGTTCTTTATGCTATTAGGGACACACCCTTTTGTTAGCTTAATGTTTAGCACTTGCTTGAAGTAATAAACCATGATAATAGGAGTTAGAAAGCCTTAAAAGCAGGGCTGAGTCTTCCCTGAAACAGAGAAGAAATCCTGCCTGTGGACAACAGCTTTGGCTGTGCCCATCGGAGTTCCACGCTGCTTGTGATCATACCTTATTGACAATGTCCTGTGAACAAAGATATGACAGCATATTTATCATCAGAAACAATGTATGCAAGGACAATGGAACAACATCTTTAAAGTACTGAAAGAAAAAAAAGGTCAACCTAAAATTCTATATTCAGAAAAAAAATTCCAAAAACAAAGACAAAACAATACTTTTTCAGACTTAGAAAAAGTGAAAGAATTCATCACCAGTAGATTATTGCTCTTATAAATGTGAAAGGAAATCTGTTAGGCAGAAGGAAAATGCTACCAAAAGGAAATCTGGATCTACACAAAGGAAGAAAGAGCACTGGAAATAGTTAAGTATATGAGTAATAGGAAATAGTTAAGTATATGGGTAATATCCAATATTTTTTCTTACTCTTTAAAAGCCATTTGACTGTGTAAACAGAAATAATTAACAATGTAGTGTGGGTTTTATCATGGCTCATTACTTCAAACAAATGCTAAAGATTAAGCTAGCAAAAGGATGTGTCCCTAATAGCATAGGCAACCACCAATCTACTTTTGGTTTCTAGGGATCTGCCTATTCTGGACATTTCATATGAATGGAATGAATATAGTATGTGGTCTTCTGTGTCTGGCTTCTTTCACTCAGCATAATGTTTTTAAGGTTCATCCATATGTAGCATGTATCAGAACTTCTTTTTTTTATTGCCAAATAACATTGCATTGTATGATATACCATTTTTGGCATAGATGGAGAAAGAATAGACTATTCTTTCAAATGGTATTAAAACAATTAGACATCCATATGCAAAAAAGTGAAGTTTTATCGAAGTCTCATACCTAACCCAAAATTTAATTCAAAATGGATCCCATATCTAAATGTAAAACATAAAACTGTAAACCTTTTAGAAAGAAAAATAGGAGAAAATCATCATCATCCCCAGTTAGGTAAGGATTTCTTAGATACGACATCAAAAGTATGTTTTTTTGTTTTTTTGTTTTTTAAGAAATGAACTTGTAGGGGCCAGCCAAGTGGCGCGTTGGTTAAGAGTTGGCTTAGGACGCCAGCTCTGAGCAACAGGGCCCCGGTTCGGATCCCACATGAGGGCCAGTGACGCTACGCCCTCTACAGCTAAGATGGTGAACAACAACTCAACCTGAAGCTGGGCTGCCGTGAGTTGCCGGCGATGGCGTAGGCTGCAGTGGGGCTGGTCGGCAGCTGGCGTGAGCTTTCGTGAGCTGCCAAGAGCCACCGTCCAATGGCTGGCAAGCGACTGCCTCACCGAGGAAGAGCACAATGATAATACCAACATGGGTCAGTGAAGCGACGTCCTCCACAACTAGACTGAACAAAAGGACAGAAACTTGTCTGTCCTCCTTCCCTGATTCCTCAATGCTGTTCCCCTCCCTCAATTCCCCAATAAAATCTTTAAAAAAAAAAAGAAAAAAGAAAAAAGAAAACTTGTACCCAGAATATATAAAGAACTCTCAAGACTAAACAATAAGAAAACGAACAGCCCAATTTTTTTAAATGAGCAAAAACTTAAACTACCACCCAGCAATCATTCCTGGATATTTAACTCAGAGAAATTAAAATTTATGTCCACACAAATGATC